CACCTAGGTGTGCAGACTGCCCCAGGTGTTTGAGCTGGGGGCCAGGTGTGCACGGACCTGGTTCCTTGACCATGCAAACTCCCCGCCGCATGGGCAAATCAGGTTGCTAACTGCACACATCTTCTCTGTACGTGGGGCATTTTCAAATTTGGGAATAGAAGAGTGCAAAGAGGGCTCCACCAACACACTGGGATTCAATATACCTGGTCCAAACCCTCCTTTCCATACACCCCACGCTCTGAGATCCGCTTGCCCTGCACCAGTGCACTCCTAGGGTTATGCAGATCCCATCTGTCACACTTTTAAATAACTGGCTGATCATTATGAATTCATTTGGTATTCACTGTGATAATGTTAATCAAAATGAATTAATAGAGTCCTCACACGGCCAGTGTACTGTATGTGCTCCCTCAGGAATTCTGCCACCATTGAGAAATTAATTAATGGACCTATAATTTTACAGTGGCGTTGCCCAGGCAATTGCCGTAATTGGAAGAATTTAACAGTCACCTGACTTACACGATGTCAGCTCGGCCGGGCCAACAGGGAGGAGAAAGCCGGAGCCCCCTGGACAAGTTGTGGGTCCATGGCCGAGGCCCCAAACCACCGCACTTTCCCAGAGGTGATTTTTCTTCCACATTTACATCTGTCTGCTATAGCAGTATCCGCCTCCTTGCAATGTGACACTGCTGCCTCAGTTCCCCCCCTGGTTTTCTACTGAAATATATGCATGCCCACACTTCCAGTCGCATTCCCCTTCTGGGAGCCTAAAGAACAAAGGCACAAGAAAAATGGGTCCTTTGGTGCTTCATGGTGCATTCAACTTATTAAACTTAATACAGGTCTCTTGCCTGCCCAAGAACCCTGTTAGCAGGGCTTTCTGCTGGCCTTCATCCCACTAAGCTCTTCCTGGGCCCCAGTTCACTCACCTCCAGGACCTCAACCCATCTCAATTCTGGCCCCATCCCAAGCCACCTATCCTGCAGGCTCCTAGAGACACCCTTATGCCAGGTCTTCATTTCCTTCCTGCTTGGAAACAGGCACATTATATATAGCAGGCATCAAGTCTGGGTTATGCTCATCTCATTGAGTCAAGCACAGGCCAGGATTCTCCATCCTTAACCCCGTTGCTGGCCCAGCTCCTTCCCATGAAAGCTGTAAATTCAGAGATTAGCACCTTTCCATTAATGCATCGTCAAGGGAAGAGCAGGTCCTTAAATAACAGGGACCAAAACCACTGGGCAGCATTTTGATTCAGGACCAATTATTCTTGTGCTGAGGATCCCTGACGCCTGGACTGCTCAGTCCACCTGCAACCGCCTCTCTCTGCCTAGGGTACTTTTGCCCTGCAGCTGATCATTCACACCAGGAGCCCTGAGGATCTTACTTGGTATTATTTCTCCGTCTTCCCTTTGCTCATCCATGAGTTGGATCCCATAGGAACAGACTTCCAAGAGATGCTGAGCTGATTTGCCTTGTGTCATCCTAAGCACCTGCACTACCCGCTGACATCAGGAGGATTTTGCTATGTTTAGTCCACTTGGTTCTTCACAGATTTATTTACTAGATCATCTTCACCTATTTTTTCCCTTAGTGACCCCAACATCCATCACAATACTGTATTTCTGAAGTCATTTGGTGGTATCTCTTCCATAATACTGACTTGGCTTGTCTAAGAAGCCATACAGAAGGAGGTGCCCCAACCTCCAGTAAAAATATTTCACGTTCCTGAAGACAACTGCAGCCTTTGGCAGCAAACTGACGGCTAATAAAAAACCCAAAAATTGGGGAAATCTTGTATTTCTATTCAGAATAGCATGCACCTTTGCTGAATATAAAGATACCTTTAACCTCTTGGTAAGACAGCTCAGTGAGTCCACATCACAGTGCTGACCCCCACGACTAGTGCCTTTTATCCAGCACAAAATCCAGTATTCACCAGTGACCGCTAATGGTCTCTGACAGCATCATGCTCCCACTGACGGCGCAGCCGTGCCTCTCTGCAGAAAGCTGCTTTCTTCGCAGCGTCATGGGCACGGGACCGGTCCGCTCGGACTGTGACCGTGCATCTGGGTGGGGAGAGGGAAAGTTGGGTAAGGAGAGCAGACTCAGCTCGACAGGACCTCCTTACAACAGGGAGAGGCTGCAAATGGATACCTGTCTTCCTACTGATGGGACTTGATGGTGCGGCACATCCTTGCAAGTGCCCCTATCGTGCTTTTACTGCAACATGTAATACCAAGAGGAAGCGGCCCCATGGGACCAGCGGCTGCCCCGCGTACCTGGCACTGTCCACAGCCAGCATGCTCTATCTGAAGGTCAAGGGCCTTTTCTCCCCATTTGCTCCATCTCCTTCACATCCCTTGCTGGTTTTGCTATGTTTGTGCTGGCTCGTGGCTCTGTCTGATCCTTTTCCCAGGGCTCAAGTCACCCCTGCATGGGAGGCAAGGTTGATTTGGGGCCTGGACCACTTTCTCCTGCTCGCCATCACCTGTTGGGAAATGTACCTTCTGCGCGGTCCTGCCAGGGGACACGGGGGGACGCTCCGGCCTTCCCTGGAAAAGGCAGGCAGTCCTCTTCCCTTGAGTGAGGACTGTAGCCTGCCTGTAGACCCAGCCACAGCAGTGCCATGAAACCTGCTCCTGCTGCCGGCAGTGGGAAGAGGCAAACCCGTTCCTAGCTGAGCGGAGGATATTCCTCTTCCCGACAGTCATGTTAAAACGCCAAAGCACTCACTGCCTCAAAAACACTCTCCAGCACACCTCCTCAAAACCAAATGATCGGGGGGCGGCAAGGTGAAGAGCAATAAAAAGGAGAAGAAGGAGCAGCCAAGCTATTGTCATATTCAACTGGAAGCTCCTGTTTGCTCTGAAAAAATCTGGGGGGTGGTTTGCTTCGGCTCCCATCCCAAACCCCCCCAGGCTTCCTGCCTGAAATGCCGCAGCAACGTCTTCCGCTTCGGAGGGGGAGCGTGGCTATCGGCCTTCATCATCAGCCGCCGTAACAGCGAACAAAGCTTCTGCCACATGGCAGGACTACTAAAGGACTGTTTGCAGTGACTGCATTATTAGTATCACATAATAATAATGGACTAACAACACCGCCCTTGCGTAGCGTCCAGAACATCTGTTGGAAATTTAGTCTTTCTTGAAGTAAAGCCCATGACAGCCTCCCACCCTGAATCTCTACTCCAGGCACCAAAGGGTTACGTTTGCTAGGGGGAGGAGAAGGGACCCTTTGGGAATTTGGTACTCTCGGTCTTGCTGGAGAGCTATCCCCCCCCCCCACTTCGCCCCTTCTGAATGCCCTTTAATTGCTCGCCTCTGGAAGCTCCCAGCGTCTCGAGCAGAGATGGCTTTGACATTTGAAGAATCTACATGTGTGGGTCCTTATATAACCCCGTAAATCAAGCCTGTCAGGGTTTGTTAGACGCAAGACGCGGCTCCAGCACTGCCCTATTTCATCAGTGCTCCAGACGAGACTAACTGCTCTTCCAAGAGACACGGTCTGTAGCCCGGCTCTCCTGCAGCTTAGACCGACTCTGCAGCAAAGAGGGGAATGGACATGTCTCAGAAGATGCAGATGGAGACGTGACTCAGAAGATGTAAGGGGAGAAGGCACCAGCGAGCGGAGCGGTACCTAGGGGGCCATTTTCACATAGTTACTCTGCAGTCATAAGGATGCTCCAGTCACTGATGCTTTAGAGAGATGCTGTCAGGAGGTTTAGGCCCAACTTCATTTTCAAGTGGGGAGTGGGAGAGGGAACTGCAGCAGAAACATGTTTGCATGACTGCTTTTTTCCAGTGGGTTCAAAGATTGGCTTCTGGTCTTGGAAACCCAAGCACAACATTGCCAGGCTCGTGCGTGGGAATCAGAAAGAGAATCCAGTTACTAACAGATGCTGTTCCTCAGTCCAGTTTCGCTATCGTGCGAAGTGCAGTGCAAAATGCAAAGTAAAGAAACAATTAAAAATGAGCTATACTGTAAAACTCGAAAGAATAAGATCAATCTAAGTACCCCAGGGAAAGCAGCTTATAACATATGGCTTTTTTTAAAAACACGACGGTGTCCCATTTTCCAAGATTTAACGTCATTTCAGATCAGGCTGCGTATAAAACAACGGGCTGACCCAGACGGCAATCTTAGTCATCCAAAATAAATCGAATCCAAAAGCTTTTTACCTTAAAAGCCAGCCCTAAGCTCACCCCTTCCTACAAGCTTTACAGCCATCTGAGAATTGGAAAAGCGTCTTTTAAAATGCATCAGCAAATGCCACTCAGCAATATCTCACATTGCTCAGCCTTCTTTCGCTGCATCCCTTTGTGGTGTTGGCTTTTCTGAGGTCTGGGGTGGAAAAAGGAAAGTGCGTCGCTATGACACTGTGCCCAGCTGGATGCTACCTACGCAGAACAATCCAGGGACGTGGCTGCCGCTTATTAGTGATGGAAGTGGCAATCTGGCAGGGAAGAAGCTCATACAAGTTTTCCTCGATGGTGAAAGAACAAAGCAAGTCACCCAGAGCAACATCCTGCTCTCGGGCACCCATCTAGCCTCGCCATCCATTGCCCTGTGTAGTGGCACCACTATCTCAGGAGACCTCTCACTGCAACCTCAGGACCTGGTGCATCTCACAGCCTAGCCTCCATCGTGCCCACTTATTGGTGTGTAAGCTAGTCTCTGTCTGCCCCATCGCTTCTGGGGCCAGTGGAGTCACAGCTGTGAAGCCAGGGCAAAATATACAGAAGAGAAGTGAGCAAACCCACCCTTTAGGTATCAGCCAACAGCACGATTCGGAGCAGAGATTGCCTGGAGAGATCTCTGCCACATGCCACTGGCTGCACTCAGGCTCAGCCCTGCATTGAAGTATTGCTTTGGTGCCGGTTATGCTGTAGGGATACCAAGAGGAGGGAGCTTCTACTTGACAGCCAGCCCGTGGAGGAATCGCCTGAACCTGCAGCACCGCGGCTGCTTTTTGGAGGCTGCTGCTCCACGTCCCTTACCTTCTCGCTTCATGCCCATGGCCAGACACTTCTGATAGCGGCAGTACTGGCAGCGGTTGCGCTGGCGCTTGTCGATCAGGCAGTCCTTGTTGTCACGGCAGGTGTAGGTGAGGTCTTTCCGCACCGTGCGCTTGAAGAAACCTTTGCAGCCCTCGCAGCTGTACACCCCGTAATGTTTACCTGCGGAGGAGCGAGAGGTCAGGCAGGCTGCTTGGGCACTGGGCCCACCGGACAGACACCCGGCTATTCTCCCTATTCCTCTCCCTCCTTCCCTTCCGGGTTTTCATGTGCCGTGGCTTGTCTAGTATGGGATTTGGAGCTATAGGGCCAGAGAGAGGGACCCCGTGGCCTCAAGGTAGCCAAATGAGCATGTTGGAGTGTCTCCAGGTGCTGTGATGAGGGTGCCCGCAGGTGAAAGGACATGCCCGGAGGCTTCATTTGTCCTACCTACTTCCCATAAAGTCTCAAAAAACTGCTCCCAGCATCCCCACTTGGCATGAGGACCAACAGGGGCCCTTCAGCTCTCCAGGCCCAGTGGAGTTGAACCTGCTGCCTGCTCTGCCCAAAGCAGAGAGGAAGGGCAGATGATGAGATATGGCAGACAAAACTGAAGCACCGGGTTGCCCCAAGGGAACCAAGGCATGTGACCGTCCAGATGGGCAAATCAAGACCAAGGACAGGGATTCATCCTCCCCTGGGGGCCACCTCCTCCACCCTCTTGCATCCACCGTAAAGCATTTTCGGAGCCAGGCGCCAGGCTTTACCTGAAGATCGGTCCCCGCAGATGGCACATATGTGCTTGGTGAAGGAGGCCATGGTTCCTGAGGGGTGTGCTGGCACTTTAAGGACCCCATTGAGCCCCAAGGGCGGTTTAATGTCTTCTGAGCTGCTGACAGGGTTCATCGGAGAATTGAGCTGCACAGAGGGAAGCAAAGGAGACTGGTTACGTTCGAGCAGAGAATAACCACCCATTCTGCGCGTGCTGCGCGTGCACGTGGACTCGGATCTGGGATGCAGGGAAACGACACAGGCGAGCCGTCTGGAACGGGTTTGCTTTCCCCGGTGGAAGGGGGGATGTGTGAATCAGGAAGATTGTGTGCTCCAGCCCTGCACCTCCTTTGCAGCTGCCACCTGAGGACCCAGTGTCCCACATAGCTCTACCAATAAACCTCACCCTGACCTTACAGGCCCAGGACTTACCAAGCTGTCGGTTCACCTCCATCCAAGCCTGTAAGCCCTTGGCTTTCCCACACTTGCTTTCTATTCCCAGTCCTCATCCCTCAAATTGATCCTGGCTTGCAACCCTTTGCTACCTGACCTTTGCACAACAACCCTATCCAATAAAGAGCAGACATAATCAGCTTGCAAAGCTCATTAGCACGGGCCTCGGAGGTTGCACGGGGGCCCCGTCCTATCCGAGAGAGCTCTGCGGACACTGTTCACCTCTGGGAAGGGAGCTGAATGGAGGGCTGGTCCTTCCTTCTCGGATCCAAATCCTGCAGGCAATGCCAGCTGCACCCCGTTAGGTGCAACTGGGCGAGCGGTTAGTCCAAATTAACCCAGTTTGAAATCGCCAGCACCCTGGGAGCTCAAGGTAGGTCTCCGGAGATCAAAGGCCTGTGCTCTGATCCCCTGCTGTGGAACAAGAGTCAGCAGCACAGAGCCAAGCCCATTGTAGGCAGCTGACCTGGGCAATTAATCCGTGCAGCCGGATGACATCATGCCTCCATGAATACACAGATCCCAGGTTCATATTACAACCAGGGGAAGGGACAGCGGCTAATCCTGTTATAAAGCTGAGGAACCATGAAGGGCTGACACCGCTGTCTAATAAGCCAGCCCTGTAAACCACGTTCCCGGTTGATTTAATGGGCAGGCAGATTCCTTTCCGCCCACCTCCGTGGGGAGAGCCCTTATCTCGGCGCGTGAGGAAGATGCTGCCTCAGGACTCGCGGCAGAGAAAATGATTTGCAGTGATTATCTGGGGGAGGGCTCCTGGCTGTGAGGTCGGGCTTGGGGATGATGAAGACCAGGACACCGCAGCCCGGCTGCTTTTACCGGGGGGATTTATAGGCTGTCTTTTAGCATTATCTCTTGAAGGGAAGGATCCTCAGAGGATGAATTACAGGTCACCCCAGCAATAGGCCTGCTTCGTAGGACACTCCCCTTCCTTTTCCGCATGCAGACGCCAAGCAATTCCCCTTCCCTTCTGTTTTCCTGGTCCTCTTCGTTCCCTGTCCCCATCAGGGGCAGCAAGAAGAGCGGAGGGGATGGTGGGACTTGCAGAAACGTGCTACGAAGCACACGCCTGCCAGGCAGGCCTCCACCCTGGCACTTGGCAAGCTGCGATTTCGGATCCGTTTCTGCAATATGGGAACAAGCAACTCTCCATGGTTTGTGCATTGCTCCTCATGACACCCACCAGGGCAGGGCAATGCTGTGCTCCCCGCTGCGTCTAGGAGTTCAGGTTCAGGGGTAAATTAGCCCCAGGGAAGCTCTGCGTTGCTTTGGTTAACCTATTCCCAGTCATCGAGATAGCCAGAGGATCTGTGTCCTCACACCTACCCTAGCTGACTTCTAGGAGGGCATGTAGGAAACACAGCAGAGAAGTGAACTGACTCCTAATTTTCCAATCTGCAAGTTATCATTCCTAGTACCATGCAGTCATGCCTCCTATTATTATCATGGCTCAACCAGGGTTTTGCTCTTCGTCCTTGTTTTTTGCTCTGGGTGGTAAAATGATTTGAGACAAGACTCCACTGGGGGAGAGACGTAAGACTATCCCACGCTGGAGAAATGTGTCCCGGTCTTCATGGAAGCATCACAAATGCCAATGGAGAATAGGCGACGTCCATCTGAGAAGCCAACCGCCACCACAACCGAATCCTTCCTGCGGCCGCTATTTTGCTCGGTCACGAATTCACGGATTCTTTCAAACAGCTTCTTCTCCTCTGTGTGGACATGTCGTCTCAGGGGAGGCCCGAAGTGATGAGACACAACATGTGTTGGGAGAGGCTGGAAGGGAAAGGGAGGCTTTCTCTTCCTATCCTTATCAGCCTGACTGACTGCCTGGCACGAGCCAGGTTTGGGGCTTTCCAATCAGCTGTGCAGGCTCCAGCATCCAAGACGCAGCTTTTTAGGTGATGGCTAGATCCTCCAGGCCTGATCCAAATGCTGTTCAAGTGATGGGAAGTTCTCTTTTTGGCGTCATGGATCTCTGGATCAAGCCCTCTACTCTCCGGGTCCAATTCTGGTCTCAGTTTCTGGAGTGTGAATCCAAGATAACTCTGCTGAAGTCAACAGGATTTACTCTGCATTTGCATCAAAATACTTGAGGACAGATTCTGGCCTAACTATGTGATTTAATACATGGCAGGGGGGTAGGATTCTTGCAATCTAGCAATAGAGTTATGGCGCGGTTTGGCATCCACTGGAGGTTTCTAAGGCTATTTCAGGGCTCTCTGTATTTCCTTAACTCACCAAAGAGAAGCTGAAGGGGTGACTTGATCGTGCTCTCTAAGCACCTATATAGCAAATAAAAATTTCCCAGGCTACTGAATCCATCAGACAGATGTGCGGTGACCAGATAAGGAAGCCAGAAAAAATTCAGATTAAAATTAGGGTGCCTGTTATTAAAAGGGAGGATAATTAACCATCGGAAGACCTTACCGAGGGCAATGAGGGATTCTCCCCCATCGGCTATTCCTGAATCAAGAGTGGATAGTGGTGTTTTTTTTGAGAGGCTCCAGTTCATTCACAACCACTGAACTGGATGCAGGAGCTAATTCAGGGAAGTCCTGCGGCCCATGGTCACCAATGGTGAGAGCAGATAATCACCAGTGTTGCTTCTGGCTCTACCCGAGTGGGTCTAGCTAATGAATAGTCACGAACCAGGGCATGGTTAGACCTACCTGCAAGAGGGAATGCTTCATCCCACCCATCTCCCACCATCCATAGATGAGGACAGATCATTCATACCCACGAGCCCAAGCCCTCAAGGTATCAAAGGTCCATGAATCTCACTGACACGTGAGACTGGATCGAAACTTAACGGGCACTCTTTGGGATGAAAGCCTAACCAAAGGGTATAGTCAGGCAAAGTTCTTTGGGTAGATGTAATATCTTTTATTAGACCAGCTAAATAGTTGGAGAAAGTTATATTCAAACTTTCGGTCAGGTATCCAGGTTGTAGCCATATCGGTCTAGAGGAAAAAGCAATCAGGACTCGTAGTAGAGATGAGATCTTTTATTAGACCAACTAGACTTCTGCAAAAAAAATACTTTTAGCCAATTTTTTTAATGAAATCCTCATAATGTCACAAGGAGGAAGCATCTTTGACCACCTGAGATCCTGCTCCTGCCTTTGTTCAAGGTCATCTGCATCATCACAGACCTCAGAGACACCTTAACAGCTAAGCAATGCCTGCCCAGAGGAGTTTTCCATCTATTGACTCCTCAGTGAAATCCTATGAAATATGAACTTGCATTTCTACCCGGGAGAACTTTTACAATCTTTTCTCCAATGCCTGATGAACGGTGTTCATGCCCAAAAGCTTGCAGTTAAGGATTTGTTTTATTATTATTATTTTGCAAAAATCTAGTTGGTCTAATAAGAGATATCACCTCTCCTATGAGTCCCGATTGCTTTTTTCAAACTTTCGGGCACAAACGCCCTTCTTCAGGCATTGGGAGACAGCTGCTGTTATGAGTTTTCTACAAGGTAGAAAAGAAGCTAAAGTCAGCAGATGGATGAACAGATGCACAGACAGACAGCGGGATTTGCGGGGTCCCAGGATGACCATCATCACCTTCCCTAGTGATGAGCCTGGAGCATGTCTACCTCGGACAGCAGCATTGCTTTGCAGACTTCACAGGGACGATCAAGGTGGACCTCAGGGCTTCCTGCTGCCCAACAGGCCACCCCCCTGCACCAGCCATCCCTCCAAGCTGAAGGCCAGGCATTTTGCTGGCTATTTGCAGGGTCCGGCCTTGAACACGCAGCAGAGTTGTTCTGACGTCCTCCGATAGAGGGCAACGGTGCTTGTCTGCATTAGCCCGTCCTTGGCTGTCTCTTTTCCCTGTGAATGACCATGCACTTTTGGTTCCTCAAATTCCACCTACGGCTCTTCCCCTGAGTCAGCACAAGGGCTCTCGTGTCTCTCTCTAGCCCCGCTCCACCCCTCCTTCTCCATCCTGTCTTCATTAAGACTTCCGCTGAGCCACGCCAATGTCCCCTTTCGGCTGCCCGCCCCGTTTCCTACGCAATACGAGGAAACACATGCACGTTAGAAAAATCTATTCCCTTCCCTCTTCGGACTCCGCTGTTGTCAGCTGCCCTTGAGAGATCGGGGAAGAGAAGCTGAAACATAAAAATAATGCTGCTGAGTGCGAGGCGCCTCCTGTAAGAGCATCAACCGAAGCATTCCCTGTGGTCTCCGCTTTCTCAATGACTTGAACACACAATTCGCTAGCCCTATAGGAGAAGCAGCAACAAAATAGGCTTGGCTCAGAGGGGTAGATATGCATTTCCCACGTTCTGCTTGTTAAATGTTTGCCGTAGGCCTCTTGTTAATGCAACTCAGAGATGAGATGGGTCCTCCATCGCCTGAGATCTTTGACTGGATGGGTGGCATGGATTCACAATGAGATGCTCCCTTTCATCCAGCTTCATGCAAGAACCACCCGACTCTACAACCTTCATCACGCGGGAGGTCAAACTAAAACGATTGCACGAGATTTTTCTGACAAACCATATCAGGTCTCATTTTCTGAACTCCCCAAAGTTTTAGAAGCGCCTTAAAAAACAAGGGACCCAGCTTCTGCCCACCAACTGTCTGGGCACCATGCTAACGTCAAAGGCCATCAGCTGCCTGTTTCATAGTTTCTAGGGTCAGAAGGGACCTGAACAGATCATCAAGTCCGACCCCTGCCCTGTTGGAAGACTTCCCTCTGTTGTCCCAGGCCCTTTACAGTGCTCGTGGATCTACAGTTGCTGCAGGCTTTGGTGGGCAGCCAGGTGTTTTGAAGGTGGAGTGTTACCTGTAAATATGTGCTCCATTATACCCCACCAATTGATGGCAATCACACTCAGTCCTCTTGCAAAGAGACAAGCCTAGTCGATGCTTTGAAAATGAGGACAAGGTCCTTGGAGCATGAAAATGAGGACACAAGGTCCTTGGAGCAGGTTCAAATTTGGCTGGAGTGCTTAATGGCATTTTGACCAGTCTTCCCTAGGAGGAACTGCTGCTGGTTGCAGCCCCTGTCTTTAAAATCACTGTCATTAAGCGTGCCCCAGAAGGATCGGTGATGGCAATCGTGGGTGGGCAAGGCGGTGGCGTGGGCATGTGGGTGCAGTGATGAGGAAGCACCAAGCGTGCATGCTTCTGGGTGCTAGGAGCACACTCTTCCCAGAGCTGAGGATGTCAGCCTAGCCCAGGGGTCCTGCATGTTGCTCTCCACGTCAACCTGCTACTGGAGCTTGGAGGGACTAGGGGTCCTTCAGTGATCTCCACTGAGTCAAGCATTGTTGGATGGCAGGGGGTGGAGGATTTAATGCATGCAGGGATGGAAGGGGCTGGCAGAAACGGCAGCTCCGTGGGGGAAGACTCTCCTTTACTGCACTGGGATCCGAGTGTCAGGCTGGTGACGCCGCAGTAACACCTGTGCCCCTGTCCCTTGGGTCCCCAAGCTGCCTAGTGTGCCCCGATGAGTCAGCAGGAGCCCCAACCAGCTGCTGAGTCAGTGCCCGTGGATGGGAAAATGCCTCCGTTTCCTCTTTCGGCAGCCTCCTGAAACCGCAGCAGTGCTACACGTGCGCCTCTCGGTTCCCACACTCTCCCCTGGCGCCTGTTGCTCCTTCCTCTTGGGTCCTGAGGCTGTGAAGCAAAGGCTGAAGGAGCCGTGGTGAGAAAGACAGCGAACCCAGCCCAGAGCTTCACACCGAGCGCCTGACAGCACCTACTTCTGCTTTTGGTGCACACATATCCGGAGGGTGCCATGGGTGCAGGGCAGCACAGCCTAGAACGAGAACTGCCCTGGGCAGCCGGACCCCTGGGTTCCCTTCCTCTAGCTTGAGCATCTCCTTTTAAGCTCTGCTGATGAAGTCCCATCCGCTCCGGCCTGGCAATAGCTAGAGCTAAAAGACTTAGATAGTCCCGAGGAATCCTCCAAAAGAACAAAACGGTTGTCCGATAATCTGAGACAACACGGAGACTACGATCTAACTCCACATCTCATTACTCCTCACCTCTCCCAGGCCTCTCCAGACCTGCTGCCAGTGGGGGAACGGGGGTCTGCTACCAACCCACAGGCTATTGCTTCTGTTTCTGTGCATGACAACACTCACGCAAGCAAAAAGAGGGAGTGAGAAGGAGACCGGGAGGTCAGTTTTCACTTTCTTTCTAACGAAACATCTAATGTCCAGAGACACCTTTTAGGGTTGTTTAAAAATAATAAACCCCACCTGACTCACCATGGCACTAGTTTCAGGAAAATGCCACATGGTGTGGGTGGTCCCAACAAACACTCCTGGGTGCTGCGCCCGCCCGAGAAAAGCCAGCTCTACAACCTAAGATAGACCCCTTAGCCTTTCTGCACTCAGTTTTCCCATCCCTAAAATGGGGTGGGGGGTGGGGGCAGTCCTGGCACCTCATGCACAGAGGGGATCTCTCAGGCTGCAATGCCTGCAAATCATCTTGGAGTAACTTGGAAGAGAAAAGCAAGGACGTGTGAGGGGCGGCACTACTTTTCCTAAGAACAGCTGAATCGGGGCGAGTCAAGGCACTCGAGCTGGAAGCCTTGCTTGAAGGGGACCCTTTTGGTGTGTGCAAGAGAGGAGTAACAGGGGACAAGGGAGGTCAGATCAGCGGAGCTGTTTGGGGCCTGAGAACTGGAATAGCAAGAGGCACTGGAGGTGAAGAGTGAAGCCCGGTGGCAAGAGTTCGGGAAGGCCCCGGAGTGGAATAACTGGGTCAGCACAGGTCAGCAGCGAGGTGCGTCGGCCGAGCAGCGTGGGTGGGACCCAGAATAGCAGGAGCTGAAGGTCAGAGCGAGCAGCGGCAAAGCTGTGCTGCCAAGGAAGCTAGCACGGCACCCGCCTGCGCTATGCCCAGCCCCTCCGCCAGCTGCTGCAGGGTCCTCAAGTTCTCCGAGGGAACCGGAAAGGAGCAGGGATGCAGCTGGGAAAGATGGCATAGTCGGCCCAGACTGCCGGCACCTTTCCCTGACACCCCTGTCCTAATGCAATGCCACCAAAAGCATCCACTGGGAGATCCACTGGGTGCACCGCCCCCCTCTGCACAGCCATCAGTGCTGCTGGGACCAGATTTTCCACGGGGGACAGCGTGTGTCTGGACCCCCACCCCGTGGGTCGCCAAGAATAGGGCTGCAGATTCCCAGCACTTCGCCTTGCACACCTCAGTCCTCCCGGTGTCCTTCTGCTCGGCTGGCTTTCCAGAGCTAACGAGGCATAGCCTGATGGCAAGTGGCATCTGCCATCTGATTCAAACCACCTTCCATCAGTGCCATCTCCGCTCGGCAGCGCAGGAGCACACACTTCATTAACCCCAGCGCTTTGTGGACTGGTACCATGATGGACAGGGGGGCACACTCCTGTACTCCTGCCTTTGCTGTCCTCCTCCCCGAGAGGATGCCTCCCTCCATCCTCCTATGCACACGGGACTGGGAACTCCCTCCCTCTCGAGCTGGCTCAGGTAGCTCCTTCCCGCCACTGCCAAAATAGGGGCCTAATGCTTGCAGACAGGGGACAGATGGAAAAACCCAGTAGACTGAAAACGTCCTAAATGTCTCCTCCAGGAAAACCACTTAAGACCGAGCATGAGCAAATGACAGGGACCGTCGGGGCCCAGCGATGCCGTGGCACTCAGTCTCCATTAGGCTTGATTCCTCTCTTCCTTCTGGTGCCTGTTTATTTCAGTTCCCCTGGCCCGTGTGTCTCGGCTTCCCAAAATAGCCGCGGCTTTGCACTGAAACCCTGCCCGCGTCGGCCCGCTCGCTGCTCGTGCATTTCCGCAGCTTCACATCTTCCCCTAGCCTTGGCTTTGCTCTCATGGCACTATCTGGGCGGTGGCTGGCTCCGAAGCAATATTTGCCTCTATTCCTCCTGGTTTCCAGGAGTGTAGCAGCCTGTCTGCCCCGCTGAGCCCAGGGTTAACTCCATGCCGGGGGCAGGAATATGTCTGGGTTCACACGGCATTGGACTTGAACTCTGGAATAGGCAGGTGGGGAGATGCAAGGATGCAGGAGAAAGGGAGCACGGCAAGCTCCCTGGTGATTTCACAGCCTCATTATGCCCCATCGGGCCCAGCCGTGGTCCCTGAATAGAGGCAACTGGTTTTCCTCCAGCACCCAGGTACTGCTCAACCTGGTCCCATGCCATTGCAACGACCCGGTAGAAACAGCTCAGACTGATTTAGGATGGGCTCTGCCGAGGGACCCCTTGCCCACTCCTATTGCCCCACATTATCTGCCCTCCCAGGCACGCACAAAATGTCCCCTAGTGTGTTAGCCTTAGAAATAAATCAGGCTAATACAAAAATAAAGGCGCCGGCAGGTGTTTGACTCCCAGAGAGGCTCTGAAATAAATAAACCAGCAGCGAGCGGCAGGTGGGAGCCAATTCCTTAATCTGCCCTTTCGCTAAACATGTACCCCGTAGCCAGCCAGCAACAGGTGGCAGGGCCTCGCCAGCCCTCCCAGCACCTGCTATTTTTAAAACAGGCTTATCTCTTTATAGCTGGAGGTTTTTACATAATCTTCAATCGGCAGAGCCCAGCCCCTCCTCCACATCACTCTCCCCTGCGGAGAAAAGGGAAGCGAGTGCAGCCGGGGAGCGAAGGGGGAAGCAGCATAAAACGGCCATGAGCAGGGCAGAACAAAGTCCTGGAGAAGACCCCTGGCCTAAAGAAAGGTCCCCTGGTCATCTTACCACCATCGGAAAGGCGCTTACAATGCAGCACAGGGAGCACTGTACTACGTGCAACCCATATTTTACCTGGGCCATAGGGCTTACTGCAGCAAAGGCACAGTTTAGCGCAGCCCGGGGGCTGCTCCGGTTTGTACCAGGACAGAGAAGACCCTCAGCTTATCCCAGAATACGGAGTCATCTTGTCTCCTCTCCCCTGCTTCTTTGCTGCCCAAAGACAGGAAGCCCAGCAAAGCAGCCTGTGTCCATGACCCTTTGAAGTGAAGCCCACCATTATAGACGGGGTCTGATACTCCTCTCGTTTAAACCGGGAGTAACTCCACTGAAGTCCTGGGCCTTCCAGCAAGCAGAACGCAGAGGAAAGCCAGGCCGCCTGGTTTTTAATTCAGTCTCCTGTTGCCGCCTGGGTTCATTAGAGTCCTCCCAAAATTCGGGCGTGGAGCTGGGGTGTGACACAGCTGACTGCACAGTTGTTACTGTGCAACTCGCACTCACAAGTACTAACTAACTACACAGGAACTGGCCTACTGCACGGTGGCGTCCCCGAACAGCTTTTCGGAGATGCTGACTGCACACGAGCTCGTTACTACTGCACAATAAGTGTCTCTCTTTGTGCCACGTGATGCTACTGCACAGCAGTAACGAGCTCCTGCGCAGTCAGCTTCCCGTGTAGATGCAACCCCAAGGAGCTTTTACTAATGTTTGCAAGGACCTGAGAAAGGGATACCACTGGCATGGTATCGGGTCTCGCCACCCCTCCAGTTTTGCGGGTGGAGGTAAGATCGCTGCTCCTTTCCCTGAAAGAAACCTACTGACCATTCCTGAGTTTTTTCCCCCTCTTGCTTATACATAAATCTTGTCTCCCCTGCCTTCCTTTTGCTGGCTTACCTGTGGGCTGCCGGTTCCAAACCCCAGGTTGGGGGTGGAGGGGACTGACATAGAGTGAGGTCCCATGGGGGAGCTGATGACGGAGAAAGGAGGGCCCATGCCATTGATGGGGGAGCTGAGGGTGCTAATGGGGGAGTGGAGCTGGCCCGCTGAGCCCAGCGGAGAGCCGATCCCCGGTCCGATGGATGGATGGAGGGAAGGTGCAGCCATGGGCCCCCGGCTGGTCGGGGAGTTCAGGGAGGTGGAATTGACTTGGTTGGAGAAATCTGCAAGACACAAAGCAAACGCCAGGGTTAAAACTGCCTCCACGATGGTCCAGCAATGGCACTAAGGTGCCAGCCCCCATCCCCACTCCACTCCCCACACTCAGCCACCCCCGGCTTCCTCTCTCAGCACCTTCTCCGGTGCAAAAGTCAGTGCAGCCCCTACATCAGGCATCTTCCACCCCAGCTTGATATGGCACCAACTCTTAAAAGCCTCTGACAACAGCTGGGCAACTGGGAAAGCTGCATATGGCACAGTTATCACACCCATCTCCTTGTTCATGTGTGTACAGCCCCTAGCACAAGTCTGCTCCACGTCTGAGGCCTCTAGATGCCACCTTCCTAAGAAGGAAAATAATCGGGACTTGATACGGGATCTTGAACCTAGGATGTGCTTCTGGATCTCTGTGTGGGGGTCTGAGTATAGTCCTCGTGGGTTGCAGACTGTGTGTGCACGTTCACATGCGTGCTTGAGAGTGGCAGGGTGCATTTCTGCACCCCCGCGAGAGGAGCACATGTGTTGTGTGTTTTACGCTTGCAGAGGGAAGCGTGTGCGTGTCTTTGAGGGGGAGGTGAGGTGTTTGCAATCGGGAAAGAGCATCCCAGCTTGTGGTTTGTGTCCATGTGTCTGCTTGGGATGCGTGTGCCTGCAGTGTATATTTGCAAAGGGAAAGCAGGGGGAGGAAGACGGGGGGTTGTGAGTGTTTCCCAAGTTGCATGCATTATTTTTTGCAAGTGGGGAACTGTGTGTGCGTGTGTGTGTGCATGGAGAAGGGTACATGTGTGTGGGCTTGTGAGGAGGCAGCTGTGTGTCCACACTGGCTCCGGGGAGAGAAGGATGCCCCGCTCCCTCTGCCTTGCTTCACGCGGCTTCAGGCCTCCGAACTGGAATTTGCTTTTGCGGAGGTGTTTTTTGCAAGCGGCGACCGCCAGGCTGCGAACCTCCCGCCTGCCCCCCTAACTCCTTTGCAGGCCCAGGGTCGGGGGGGAGCAGGAGTTTAAAAATAGACTCCAGCTCTCTCTAGAGAGGAGACTCGGAGTCATTCCTGGCACATTTCCTCCTCATCCTGTCACGCTGCCTGAAAAACAACCCAAAGCACTGGGGAAGCAGGCTTCTATAATGGGCCTTTGCAAAGGCTGCCAAGAGGAATGGCAAGACTTTGGGGGCTCCGGGCTGCAGGGGAGGGCTTAGCCTGCCCCCATTCAGAGCTGTGCCGGGGTGGTGACAATTAAGGGGTCCTCACGCTTGTTCTCTCTCTCCTCGGTGCGTCCCACTGCTGTTGTCCCACTTTTGCAGCTGGCAAATCAGAGGCCTGAAATTCAGAAGTGACTATAGGCTGGCGGAGCCAGACCCGTTTTGCAGGGCTTTGAAGTTAGCGGGGTCTTTTGGAAGGTGGCTTGCCTGAGGGTCGATGCACCGAACCCAGCAGCTCTCCGCCAGGCCCATATTCCCCTCTCCCCATAATACCTGCTCCATTGGGTTACTGCTGATTTACACCGGTGCTGTGTGATAGGGCCCTGCTTGAACAGCTAGGCAATGCACTGGGCCCAAATATGACCCCAGGAACAACAGGGCCATCCCTCCACCGTCGCAGGTAGCAACCAAGAGCATCCTCGGTCCATAAATAAATCCAGGGGGGCATTGATATCATATGAGGGGGGTCTGAAGCACTAAACTGCAGGCTCACGCACGTGAACAGAGAGGCACGCTTGGAAAGAAAGCCATGTTTCTTTCCCAAGCTCGTACAGCGAGTCTGCTCCGGGGTCTGCTGCATCCCCATCCCATGCACTAGTCCCAGAGCTTCCCAACAGGTCTCGTATGAGTAGCGTGCTAAATTCAGATGCTGCCTTTGCCTCCTTGCAAGGCCATCGCCACTGGCTGTACCGCTGGCCGCTTCAACGGGCACATCTGCGGCAAGGGCTGGGGAAGTGGCAGCCCCCTCCGTGGGTCTCCCTGCACGAAGAGGCACCAGGATGGGGGGGACATGCAACATCCCTCTCGAGCCAGGAGACGAGCGCCGGGAATGAGCCAGACAAAGGGCTGCTGTGTCATCTCCGCGCCGAGCGCTCCGACCACAGCTTGTAATCCCTTGTAGGCTGGCGGTGCCCATTGTGTCTGGCAGGCAGCGAGCTTTCCGTTGGCTTCCCCAAATTGTAGACATAACAGGATTACAAGGGCTAAGAAAGAGGCTCCCTCCCTGAGGAGCTCATTCTTAAACCTCCCAGACAAGAGCCAGAAACCGGATCCCAGGGGGCTCGAACACAAAAAGGGAAGGGATTAGGTTCGGAAAAACCTGAGCGGCAAGCGAAGTTGCGACATTTTCGGAGCAGGTTTCCTTCCCTGCTAGGCAGGGTGACGTTGCGAGGCTGCGGGCTGCACGGCCTGCGGCGTGGATGCCTTATTTTTAACCGGGTCGGAAATACGTGGAGCAGAGCATCTTCTTCCCGGGCTCCCTAAATACCCTGGGCTTGCGGAGAGTCCCCAGGTCACCCTGACGGTCTGCACTGTGAACTCGTATATAAACCCTCCGCTGCTAAAGCACGGGGAGGAGAACAACGCCGGTTCCAGGGCCTCGAATACAAGAGATGCTGCAAACGTCCCGTGTGGTCCCAGGGAAAGAACTAAGTTTTAGGTATGTGTCAGACACCGTGAATTTTGCAATGGTTTGATGCAAAAAAAAAAAAAGCATCAGCTGGTCCCAAGTCAGCCAGGAGCCCTCAGCAAAGCCCTCTGTGTCCTTTGGCCCGAGTGAGACATTTGCAACAGAACCCGAACACCAGCAAGTTTCTTGTGGCTTCGGGGCATTTAACATGGATCACGGCTTGGCTCCCGCACTCCCGGCTGCTTGGTTCAGAAAAAGTTCACAGGAAGGATGGTCTTGTGTTACAACCCAGGCCCGGGACTTGGGGCGGCTGGGTTCAGCTCCTGGCTCGGAGACCGCAGCGGTGGGGACCACACGTGGGCAAATACCTCGAACGACTCACTCCACTTGAGCATCCCTCCGCTTCCCCCTGGCAGGGGCCTGGCTAGCAGCATCTCCCGTGCACGCAGCAGGACGCTGAATCAATCTGCCCCCTGCATGCAACCCAGGATGGAGCGCAGGACCGCTCCGTCTCCTTCCCCGGGCTCCATCCGCTTGGCTCCCAAAAGCACCACTCTCTCCACAGCGAAATGAGAGAATAAACTGGCCCAAGAAAAAGCCAGAGGGTTTTGACTGGCCCGACGACAAAAGCAAGCGTGGAAGGACTTGCACAAGCCCTCACGAGGGGAGCAGAAATGCCTCCCACCGAGAAGACCCCATGCTCTTTAGCAAGTGACGGGACCTTGCCGTGACACCAGTGGAGGTGTTCCCCACCGCCAGTACCACCCAGCATCCCTGAATCATGCGAGAGGAATCCCCACTCCATCTGGTGCTCCTGCTTCCGGCCATCGGAGCAGCTGTGATTACACAAAGGATTCCTGTTCGGGTTTAGCTATAAGCCCTACCTCCCCCGCTGTCTCTTTTGCCTATGCCCCCAGCAACCATGTAATAAACTTAGAGGGTCTCAGACCCACTCCCTGGGGGGCACAAGCACGGTGGCATGAGCTTGCACGTGCAGTTTGCACTCTCTCTGCTGCTCCAGCTTCTCCAACGACTGCACGGTCTACGCTCCGCCAGGCTAACCTGTGGTCAGATATATTTCAGTAAAGAGGCAAGGACTTGACAGGACTGCACAGACCCGTCCTTCAACCTCAGAAGATATTTCTTCCTTCCTGGGCATGCATAGGCCACTTGGTGGGACAGTGCCCAGGTCACCTGCTCTGCAGCTGCCCAAGCTGCATCTGGGCTGAATCTGGGCATTAAGGGGAGGACAGCAAGAAATAGTGACCAAATACATCGAATGCCCCAGAGATGAGGAAATGAGGAGATGGTAGAGGTGATAGCTTTTCTTAGACTAACTAGATTTTTGCAAAATAATTTCTTTTTTTTTTTTTTTTTTGCAAAAATCTAGCTGGTCTAATAAAAGATATCGCCGCCAACCACGAGTCCTGATTGCTTTTTCCTTTAAACCAATACGACTACAACCTGGGTACCAGAGACGAGGACTAACTCACAATCCCCAGCTGAAGGAAGCAGGGATGGAGGAAGCCAGCCGGGACTGTCCCACATCTGTGCGCAAGGCTGCATTGAAGAAATGGATGCAGAGGCCCTGCTTGAATCTCCTCCCAGCAGAGGTGCAGGGGGGAAAAAAGGCCTGTGAATGGGGAGCGAAGGAAGGGAACCTGGGGCAGGGGAAGGGAGGGTCTTTCCTTTGAAACCCCAGGTCCTGAATATTGAAAGCAAATGCACTAAGGGGGGAAGGTTGCAGGAAGGTTAGACGACACCGGCCCACACCCAGCAGCCCTGGAAAGCAGCTGAAAACAAAGGAGGTCCACGGCCAAGCCTGCAGTCCAAGGGTCTTGCCCTGGGCGCACAGCAACTTGTAGTAAAATTAGAACTCGCAGCAAACCCGTACATCGGGCATGCACACACACATGCACGTGGACGCGCACACACACACGCAGACTCCTGGACTGGCTGATATTACTCATCCTGTTTACACGCTGCGCTCTCCAGGCAGACGCATTCCCAGGGACCCAGCGAGGAACTGGGCGTGAGTTTTGGTTCGGGGTTTTTTTGGAGGGGGGGAGCTACTCTTGCAAAAATCCTCCAGGAGAAACGAAAGAGGACATATCTTTTGTGCTGGGCTGTGTCGGACGGCCGCGCCACTGTGCGTGCCTGGATGCGTACGGGGGAAGAGAAGTGTTAATCCACAGGCGAGCTTGTGTGTATACATGCAGGCTTTTAGCGGAGAGGCTCCTGGACCGAAGTCCCAGGATTGAACCTCCCAAATTTGAACCTATATAATTTTTTTCAATAGCAGCATGACCCTCACCCCTAAGCCTTCAAATCCTAACACAAACATCCTCTTACCCAGTGCTGTCTAAAATGTAGCTTTAACTCTGTGAGTATAGGACTGGC